AGTACCAGTGGTGACTCATGCCTGTAATCCCAGCTACTCCGGAGACTGAGATATGAGGATCAAGGTTCAAGGTTGGAAGTCAGCCCAAGCTGACAAATCTGAGACTCTTACCTGCAGTGAATCAGCAAAAAGCCAGAAGTGGAGATGTGGCTCGAGTGGCAGAGTGCCGGCCTGATTAAAAAAAGCTAAGCAAGAGCACAAGGTCCTGAGTTTAAACCAGTACCGCACAGTAATCACAATTCCCGTGCAAACATTCCACAGCTCATCTGTTGGTCAGTCTTGTGAGATCTGTTCTTCCCCTGCCCTTCTTTTTTGTGACAATCTGGCTCTCCACAAAAGCATAGGGTCCCCAAAAAGCAAGGTAAAAGACAGTGTGATTAACTGAAGTGATAAAGTGAGAAGTTTAGTTTTGCTGAAAGATGGCGTGTCTTTACAAGATGTTGGGCGGCTTTGTGGGAAATGAATTGCGGGTCTGCAGCGCAGTGCTGGGCTCGACCTTCTGAGTATGCGCAGGTCTTCCTCAAAAGTCGAGGGTGGGTGATTCGGGGACCCCCATGCCTGCAGGGACCAGGCACCCTGAAAGTACTCACCGAGTGCAATAATGTGTTCCAGGTGAATGCCTCCCCCCTCCCTTCACTGAAGTTTAAGCTCTGTGACTGGAATAAAAGCTGTGTGGTTATGAGGAGTCCTTGGCCGCTTGGCTCAGCAGCCGCTTTACCACGGGCTATTCCAGAGGCTGCTAAGCGCTCATGAGGACAGAAGCCACCGTGACTTTGTGTTGCCAAAACCTTTCCTGTGCTTTGTGCACGGCCGGAGGGGCTGCTGGGGAAGCATGCTTCCCACCAACACACACACAGACACGCAGAGCCAGAATAGGGGGGCTCCCATGCCCCCCACCCCCAGGACTGAGTTTTCTGGTTCCATGATGACTTTGGTCTCTTTTTTTGTTGCTCATACTAGGCTTTGAACCCAGGTCCTCAAGCTTACTCAGCTGACGCTTTTCTGCTCTACCACATGAGCCACACCTCCAGCCCAGCTTTTTGCTGGTTTTTTGGGGGGCTGGGCTGCTTTGAACAGCAATCCTCTGAGTGACTAGGATTATAGGTACGAGTCCCCCAGCTCCTTGCTCTTCACTGAGCACTCAGACAGGAGCGCTATCTCTGCCGTGGCCGAGACTGACGGAGGGTGAATTCATCTAAGCCATGGCTGTAGATATTTTTTTAACCAACTTTGTAGCTGTTGACTCCTGAGGGATCACTTTCCTCTCCACCCTCCGGAATTCCTGGGACCATTCTCTCGATGGGTGGGGTGAGAGGTGCCAGCTGGCGGAAGGTCATCTGCGTCCTAAGAGCTGGGCCCACAGTTGGGCGCCATTCTCCTGCCTGGTGCCTCTGGGTGGGTCACGTGACGTTACTGTGGCCTTAGAGATGACTGAGGACTTGAGTCCACCTGCCTTTCTTTCTCTGACTATAAGACGCAAACAGGCAGAGGGAGTTCAGCCTGGGGAATTTTTCAGTAGCTGTGCGGGCAGGCTGGGGTCCTGGTTCAGTGGACATTACCGTGCCAGCGCCCTGGGCCATCGGGTGTGGCGTCCCCAGGAGCGCCTGTCCAGCCGAGACATGGCTTACCCAGCCCAGGCAGCTGGTGGGCGTTGGGGAGGGCTGTTGTGTTTCCAGAGGCTGAGCAGCGAGGGCGCCCGTTACCTCGGCAACTGCAGGACCCATCCCAGGGGACAACGCGCTGGCCTGCTCAAGGGCGGCGCCACATGCAGATTACCACCCCTGCAGCGCAACGTGGGGCTGCCGCCGCTGTTTGTAGTTAGATGATCACAACTGCTACTCAAAGCACAGTGTGAGCAGCCGGTTTAGTCATCTTCTGACTGTCCTTCTTAACACCAGCTAGCTTGCCAACCCGCTGATGACCCACCACAGTATTCAACCTTGTCACCTGTGTGTATCGTATCTGTGAGCCAGGGCGGGCTCAGGCACCAGGTAGCCCTGACAGAAAGCGCGTGTGAATCAGATGCTGTGATTTCCAAATCAAGTCGCTCAGGCTGGAGCATCCTCTCAGTGAAGCTGTGTTCAGCAGTTGCTTTTCACTCCTGTTCTGTTTTTAATTTGACTAGAAAATCTTTTTTTTTTTTTTGGGTCCTGTCGTGGGCCTGAACTCTGGGCCTGGGTGCTGTCCCTCAGCTCTTCAGCTCAAGGCTAGCGCTCTACCACTTGAACCACAGCGCCACTTCTGGCTTTTTTCTTTTTGCTTATGTGGTGCTGAGGAATCGAACCCAGGGCCTCAGGCATGCAAGGCAAGCGCTCTACCACTGAGCCACCTTCCCAGTCCCATGACTAGAAAAATCTTTAATGGCCTGTTATAACGCAGTTGAAGGCTGACCAACCCAAGCTTTTCTATATAAAGAAATATCGCTTACCTTGTTCAGGGGAGGAGGAAGGCCAAACTAGGCTACGTTTTTGGTGGGGTTTTTGTTGTTGTTTTTCCAGTCATGGGGCTTGAACTCGGGGCCTGGGCGCTGTCCCTGAGCTGCTATTGTCCAAAGCTAGCGCTCTACCACTTGAGCCCCAGCTCTGCTGGCAGCTTTTTCTGTTTATATGGTGCTTCGTGCATGCTAGCCAGCCCTCCTCACTCAGCCAGACTCCCAGCCCTCCACCAGCGCCTGGCTCTAGGTCTGCTTCATGTCTTCATTTTTGGGAGAATAATTTCACTTGTCTCCCATTCTTGCTTCCATGTTTCTGTCCAAGTTCTATAGGAGCCTCGCACCCTCGTGGCCTGGGTTCTTTTCTCTCCTCATTTTCATGCTGCGTGTGGGGCCTGCGGCTGTCATTCTACCTGCAGTCTGATTCGCCCGGCCTACCAGCAGGCGGTGGCGCATTTCCATGCACTCTCCTTCCCTATCTTCTAGTCCGAATTGTACGCTGGGTCCCTGCTGCAGTTCCTTTGCATTCCTTGTTAAGGTTTGCTTAGCAACCAGAGGTCGCGCAGGTGAAAGCAGAGGAGCCGGGCCCTCTCCCAGCAGCAAGGTACAGGGCGTCCTCACCCGGGAGCGCGCAGAGTCTCGCGGGAAGCACGGGTTCCGAGGGGCTCTGTGAGGCTGCATTCATTACCTGCACCCCGAGGCGTTACACACATCCATCCAGAACTCTCTGCAACATGTGATCTGCAAGGCAGGAGCTGGGCTGGCACGCTCTGCGCCCCCAACCCTGCCCAGCCGTGCAGAGCACGCTTCCTTCCCTACAGGGAGACGGACGCTCTCCCAGCCCCTGGGTGCAGGGTGTGTCCATCTGTGTGGGATACATCACAGTCATTCAATCGAAGAGTCAGAGAAAGAAGCATTTCTTCCTCTTCATGCCTCGGTTCTTAGATCCATTTGGAGCCTCTTCATTGGGCCAGAAAAGGAAGTGGGCAGTGAACTGATCAGGTCTGGGTTCTAGTCAGGATGTCTCTAGTTACGTACGTGTGTGTGTCTGTGTGTGTGTGTGTGTCGTGGGGCGTGCACTCAGGGCCTGGGCGCTGTCCTGTAGCTTTTTCACCCAAGGCTGGCACTCTAGCACTTGAGTCACACCGCTCCACTACCTTTTGCTGGTTAATTGGGGTTAAAGAGTCTTACAGACTTTCCTGCCCGGGCTGGCTTTGCACCTTAGCCTCTTGTGCACCAGGCTCTAGTTATGTTTACCACCACCATGGGCCTCGGTTTCCTCTTGTCAGTTTCTGACTAGTAGTCTTCTGGAGGATCAGAAATTCACTGCTCCAAGCTTTTCTTTCTTTTGTACCCTATACACTCAGCCAGAGTGAAGAAGTGGCACGGGCTTCTTCCTGCTGCCCTCTGCTGGACAGTTCTGGACATAGGTGGGGCCTGTGCTCTGACCCTCATTTCACTCCTGGAGCTTCCCTGGAAATGGGAGGAAGGGGAGCTGCCAAGATTCTCCCCACACTGCTCAGCACCTTTCCTACTAATACAGGGAACTCCCCGTCAGGGCCTGGAGCTATTTCAGGAGAAAAAGGTAGCAGAGGTGAAGAAATGCTCACCGGAAGTCCTTCCTGAAGCAGGGCCTGCAGCCCCGCAGCACACTCCAGCTCATCCAGTTGGCTGCGGCTGAGACTGCAGTGTGAAGGCCCCAGGACCTCTGAACATTGTCTGGTGCAGACAGTGAGGCCTTTCGTATGTGATCCCTTCCCCAAAGCCTAAGGTCCGCAGCAGGTAGAAGAATTGCCACCTCATCGGACTATTTGCGGGTGTCACAGGAGAGTGTGTGAAGGGTCTTCAGCAAGTGGATCTGCTTCTTGGGGTCAAGTGGGTGGCTTAGACCAAACATCTTACTGTTCTGATGACCAGAAACCTGAAGTCAGAGCGCTTGCAGAGACCAGCAGGGGTGGGATTACCTGTCCCCATTGGTTTCTGATGGTCCGCAGCCACTTGGTTCTCACCAATCCAGTCAGGAAGACCAGCCCTGACTGCTGCGAACAGGATGCACAGGCAGCCCTTAACTGAGAACAGGATTTTCTCTGAGTTGCCTGGAGGTGGGGACAGGCCAGGCAGCTCCTGTATGAGCAGGTTTAGGTAGAACGGCAAGCATTTGTATAACCATCTCTGCAATCCCGGAGAAGCCAAGAACATCTCAGAAACAAATTCTGCCCAAGAGGAGACATCAGAGGCCAGGGACTCTCGGTCAGCCTCCTTCAGGAAGAATGGAGGTGGCGGGAATTCAGGACCTACAAGGAATCAAGTCCCCCGATTCCCCTAACCTCTGGCTCTTTGCTTTGTTGTTGCAGATGGAGCAGATGAGGAGTGAGCTGCTGCAGGAGAGAGCTGTGAAGCAGGACTTGGAGTGTGACAAGATTTCCCTGGAGAGACAGGTAGGGTTAGCTGGCCTGGGGCGCTTGTCGCCTCCTCCCTGGCTTTGGGTTAGAACATCGGAGGACTGCCACATCCTCAAACACACGAGGGCTGAGAAGAACTGACTAGAAACCAGGCGCTGGTGGCTCATGCCTGTAAGCCCGGTCACTCAGGAGGCTGCGATCTGAGGACCACACTTAGAAGGCCAGTCCAGACAGACAAGTCCATGAGACGCTTATCTCCATAACCAGCAGAAATATGGAAGTGGAGGTGTGGCTCGAGTGGTAGAGCACAAAAGCTTAAGTTCAATCCCAGTACAGCACACGTAAACACATACACAAAAGGACTAATTGGGCCCTCCCTAAATCTATTCTTCACTGGACATAATTGGTGATGGAGCCTCCTGCTCCTTGAAGGCTTGTAAAAGGACATGCATGCCCCAGAGACTTCACTCGGCTCATAAGGGAATACATTAGATCCTCTTGCTTTGTCCTACAAAGGCCAGAGCCCAGGGACATTCCCCAAAACCACCTGTCTGCCTGGATGCACAGGCTGATGAGCAGAGCAGGCTTAGCACCGGCAATGACCTCTGCTTCTGTCCTGGATTTGACTCCGCCTCTGCCCTCAGAACATGGCAGACACCGTCCTCACCATCTCCCCCTGTCTGATTCTAGAACAAGGACCTAAAGAGCCGGATCATCCACCTGGAAGGTTCCTACAGGTCCAGTAAAGAGGGGCTGGTGGCACAGATGGAGGCCAGGATCACAGAGCTGGAGGACCGTCTGGAGAGCGAGGAGAGGTGAGCCCAGCCCTGTGGGCAGTGCTCAGCGGGTGAGAGCACACATGCACGCACGCACGCGCACACACACGATCTCTTCTCATCCTCCTAAGCCATTGTGGAGGGCACGTCAAGTACAACCTTGCTATTATGGTTCCCTTTTAAAGATGAGCAAACTGAGATCCATCAAAGGCAGTGACTTGAGTAAGGTAGCCTGACTGAACATTGCATTGCTAGATTAAATCCACTAGGCTGGGAAGGTGGCTCAGTGGTAGAGTGCTTGCCTCGCATGCATGAAGCCCTAGGTTTGATTCTCCTGTACCACATACACAGAACAAGCTGGAAGTGGTGCTGTGGCTCAAGTGGTAGAATTCTAGCCTTGAGCAAAAGCAGCCCATGGACAGCACCCAGGCCTTGAGTTCAAGCCTCAGGACTGGCCACCAGCAAATGAGTAAGTCTGTGAGGCTATCCCTTTCTTCCTCTCCCTTCATAGAGTAGCTGTGTGCAAACGGCCTGTGCTCTGAACCAGGGGCATTCAGAGGCCCGAGCCCCTGTCGGAGCTGGGCTGTGTCCCTCAGTGGGTAGAAAGAATGTGGGATCAGAGGTCCACACTGCTCCCCCAGCCCCATAATCCTGAGCCTCCAAACCGTATAGTCAGAGGACGAGCAGATGCCAGCAGCTGTAGTCCTTTCTTGCCTTTCTGAGAGCGGGTGTGACAGGACTGTGTACAGACAGCCTTTCAAGAGGACTTGGAGGGGACGGGCCGCTTCAGCCTGGACTAGACCAACACGCTGTCAGGCTATGGTTCTTTGCCTGACAAAGTTAGACTCCGTGATGGAGGAACTCGGGACACTTTTAGTCCCCGCTCAGCCCCTCTGAGTGCATCCCGCACAGCCTGCTTCTTCACCTGTCCACCGCCAGCTCTGTGTGTCTCTCTGACCCTGAGCTGGACCATCGCTTCCTCCCAGCCCGGGCCCCCCAAGTGCTAGAAGGAAGGGTGCTCAGTTCTCCCCCTCCCTGCAGAGACCGGGCCAGCCTCCAGCTCAGCAACCGCAGACTGGAGCGGAAGGTGAAGGAGCTGGTGATGCAGGTGGATGACGAGCACCTGTCGCTGACCGACCAGAAGGACCAGGTGAGGCAGCAGGAAGGCAGCTCGCCGCCCATGCATGGAGTTGGCGTGGGCCGCTCTCCCCCTTTCTACTCACCCCTACATTCCAGGACGGGAGCTGGGGTTTTAGCAAATGGCAGCCCCCGAGCTAGGCTTTCCAAAAGGATGCTCTCACTCCGAGTGCCTGGGGAGCCGCGGCCCGGGCCTCGGCATGCCCTCTCTCCATGGCGGCCTGGCAAGCCTTCCACCAGTACCCAGCCTGCCCCTCTCCCCTGCAGCTGAGCTTGCGCTTGAAAGCCATGAAGCGCCAGGTGGAGGAGGCGGAGGAGGAAATCGACAGACTGGAAAGTTCTAAGAAGAAGCTGCAGAGGGAGCTGGAGGAGCAGCTGGACGTGAATGAGCACCTGCAGGGGCAGCTCAATTCCATGAAGAAGGACCTGAGGTGGGCAAAGATGGTGGCCAGTCCTGGCCTTCCCTCCTCCCCGCCCCCCGTATCTGAGAGGTCCGCAGTGTTACCAGAACATTCTTACTCCTGCTGGTTCAAGCCCATTCCTTAGTGCTCCTGTGACACCTGGGCAGCAATAGCTGCTGTTGACCATTTGGGTAAACTGAGGCTCAGAGCAGGTCACCACTATGGAGCGACCGGTGTAGACAAGTCTACTTGCATTTGACTGAGGGTGTCAAGTTTTCATTAAGATCATGAGGACTAGAATATTCCAAAACCAGGATCGGGGAGAAGGGCCTCTCGGAGGAAGCCCGTGAGTGAGGCGCAGGGGACAGAGGTGCGGGGTGAGCTGAGCCTCGCGTGGCTGTCTGGGTCATTCTCCTGACTGGCCACAAGCTGCGGCTCATGGAGAACTTATCCTGGCCCCAAGGCCAGCAGTAGGGTGTAATGCTGAGGTGAATACCCAGAGTCCCAGTAACCAGAATCGATAATGCCGGGGTGATCATTGCCCCTGGGGGGGGTGGGGGTGGTGTGCGTGTGTGTGTCTGTTAAATAGGGACTGTTAAAAAGTGGTGAACCTAACACTGTGTGGCTAATAACATGTGTCCTGTCATGGTGTTTCTTGTTCCCATAATGCCCTGGGTGCCCACTCAACCAATGAAAAGAGCCAGGGGAGGCCCGTGTGCCAGCCATGCAGCGGTCAGTGCAAAGCCCAGGGGAGGAGATGTGGGAGGACGTGTGGGACTCCTTTACACCCTTCTCCTCATGGAGAGTCCCCATACTTCTTTCACGGCTTTCCCTGCACTTTCAAATAAAACCCACTCTGTTTCCCTTAAGAAAAATAGACAATACAAGCTCTGGTGAGTTTCATATGAAATACTAGTCCCTGCCAGGTCACATTTGAGTGTAGACAGAAGGAGAACTCAATAACACCAACCCTCTCCCACCGCACCCGTGAGTGGTGCTGAGAGGTGGCTAGTTTAGCATCTGGTGCCACTATCGGCGTAGACCCTCTGTAGGGTGAAGACACCACCCCAAGCTCTTCTCCTCCCTCCTCCCCCCCTCCAGAGCCCAGCTCCAAGCCCTCTTTTGCCCCCACAGACTGAAGAAGCTACCAAGTAAAGTGCTAGATGACATGGACGACGACAACGACGATGATCTGAGCACCGATGGGGGGAGCCTCTATGAGGCGCCCCTGAGCTACGCCTTCCCCAGGGACAGCGCCAGCGTCAGCCAGATCTGAATCCACTTCCCGGGCTGCTGGACCAGGGCCTCTCACCCGACGCTGCAGCCGCCCAAAGCGAGAGGGGCCAAAGGGAACATCTGGAGCCTGGACTCTCGGCCGCCTGCCCCTCCCTCCACTGCCGGGGCTCCGCGTGGGCGCACGGCGCCTCCCACGGTCACCCGGGAGCTGTGACAGCCACTACCGGCCCGGGCAGTTGAAAATAGTTTGGTAAGACAGAGCCCCTATTGGGCACAGTGGTCTGCCAGGAACCCCTGGCATGCTCTCTCCTGCGCCCTCCCTCCCATCAACCAAAATGCCAGCGATGAGCAAACAGCCCTGGCGCAGGGCGGGGGGCGCTGCACCTCCTCACAGACCACTGCTGCTCCATGTGGAATGTTCCAGAGCCTTTGTAGTATATGGCTTGTCAAACGCACACATCAACATTGATCATCCTTTTCCCTAAAAATATGAAACTACTAAGTATTAAACACAAGCAGGAGAGAAAGGAGAATATAAAGAACGCAGCAGCTGTAAGAGTGACGGTTGCCGTCGCAGTCAGATGCCTGGAGAGTCAGCAGCCTGTGGGCGGTGGGCGGCCACGTGGCTGTTCCATCGAGGATTAGTATTTCTGACCCGTGCTCAACACCAGTCCCCGATCACTCCTTGCTCACACACAGGCGGAGAAAGGGAGACGTGAGCGTAACTTCCAACGATCTTAACATGTCTCGTGACCTTTTCCTCCCTCCTCCCATGGACCACTTCCACCTCTGCTCCTAGGCCTGGAATTGAGGGAGGAGGGGTTATGTAGGTGTAGGTGTGTGTGTGTGTGTTGGGGGTTGTGTCACTGGTACAAGAAAGATGACAGCAAGTTCTTGAAAGCTGGGGGGATGTGAAGAAGAGAGATGAGCTCACACTGATGCCCTGGAGGGAAGAAACTTTTTTTTTGGGGGGGGGAGTGTGCAAATTGGAGGTTCCTTCCATTTTCAGGAGGGCAATTTCAGGGCATGGGAGCGATCAAAGGTAGGGGTGTGGAAGGGTGCTGGTGACCCCTGAACCCAGTCTCTGAGCATCCCATGGGGCAGAGGAGAGGAGACTGTGCACAGGGCGGGTTGAGGGGGCTTGCAAGGCCAGATGATGGTTTAGAGCCGCAGGCAGCCGGCACGGGCTCCCGGGGCGCGGAGCTCACCCACCAACATGCAGAGGAGTCAGCGCAGCCGAAGGCGGAGATCTGCTCCCAGAGACCCGGAGCTTTCCATGTCTGCCTGGGCCCCGTCACCCATGCGGTTGCCCTGGCCGCTGCTTTCTCGCTGTGTGTGGAGCCCTCGCTCCTTTCAGCCATTCGCACACTTAGTAAACATGCATCAGGCCCTGGGGGTGGCAAGCCCGGTCCCGGGCACCTCGCAGGACAGGCACAAGCGCCCCACACCCCTCCTTCCCCCAGCCTGGGAGCCCTCTGGCCTCATGGGGAGGGGGACGCAACAAGCCTGTGATTGGTGGGCTGGGTCCCTGGAACCCGCAATGCACTAGTGTCCCTGACGGCTCCCAGCTAGAGCTGTGAGTGGAGCCGGGCCGCAGCCCAGGGCCCGGCCAGGAAGCGCAGCGCCTGCGCCTCCTCTTCACCCCTGGCCAGCGCGGAGGGACACTTGCATTGTTACCCCAGAGAGATGCTGACAGTGTGAATGACTGCGCCCTCCTGGGCCGCAACAGGCTCATAGCGCGGAATTTACAGAGATGCCTTCAAACTCTGCCTCTCCTCCCGTGTGCCCGGCAGCCTCTGCCCACACCGAGTCCTTCCCACGCCCAGCGTACCGCCATTTGAGTTCATTATATATTCACACATGTATTTTTCTGCTGATTGCTTTAAGAACTAACCTCACTCAAGTGTATTTTCTTTAGCTAGCTTTAAAAAAGAATATTGTATGTAAAAAGCAAATGTGGCCAAATGCAATGCTGAGGAGACAATCACTCTTGTCTTTCCTATCTCTGCCCTGCATTGGAGTGTCGCTCTACCCTCTGATTGCCTCATTCATTCTTGTGAGTTCTGCTTCCGGGTTGGGGGGGTGCAGTGTCACAGGGATGAGAAACCCTTGCTGTGGCCACCTCCATGCGCGTTCCTGCGTGAAGCGAGCTTTTTTCCTCAATAAAAGTGGCACCCGATGGGCAATCTCCACTGTTTGGTTATTTTCACTGTGTGCTCTTGGTTTGGCTCCTCGGGGTTGGCTCTGTATCCCTCAGGACCCCCCAAAGGAACCGGGCACTTGTGCCTCATGCCTGTAATTCTAGCTACTCAGGAGGCTGAGATCAGAGGATCACAGTTTGAGGCCAGCCTGGGCAGGAAAGCCTGTGAGACGCTTCTCTCCACTTATTCACCAAAAAAAGTGGAAGTGGGGGTGTAGCACTGTGGCTCAAGTGTTAAAGGCCAGCCCCGAGCAAAAGCAGCTCAGGGACAGCACTCAGGCCCTGAGTTCAAGCCCTGGGAACAGGTAAACAACAACAACAGAAACCAAGCATAAAGACTGGAACTTTATAGAGGAAGTACAACCTGGTGACACGGAAGGAGAAGGAGGGGGTGGCCAGTGTTAGATGTCCCTGGACAGCTGTGAAGTCCTGACATCACAGGAAAGAAAGAAAACAGACTTTCCAGAAAACACAGAAGAGGACGCGTCAGCCAGCCACCGGACAAGCAGGCGTGCCCTGGCTCCCGCGTGACCGCGTCCTCCCTGCCCGCCCTCCGTGTCAGCCACAGCGGCCCTGGAGCCGGGGCCAGGGGGATCTGACAGGCCCCAAGTTTACAATGGCTCTGCTGGTTTCCCTGCCTCAGCCCGTGCTGTACGGCCATTTGGAGAGAGAGCCCTGGAGCTCAAGAGACCTCTGCCCCCCCCCCCCCGGCTGCCACCCCGGTCCTCAGGGAGCCTCAGTCTCCCCAGTGGGCTCTGCCATTCGGCCCATCCTACATGGCTGCTCTCACCTCGCGGTCCGGGGGTCCTTACGGCTGTGGCCCTGGAGGCCCCCCTCAACCTGGTCCCCAGGACCCCCCAAAGGTGGTCTCATCACACAGAAGATGGTTTGGGGCACCAACAACAGAAAGGCCCCGAGTCCAGGGTGGCTCTTGGCGGGGACACCCTCCCAGGGGGCTTTGTGAGGAGAACTTCCTGCAGTGTCACGGTTGTCATCGCCGCCGCGGGGTGCAGGCCGCTTCTGTTCAGAAGTGAGCCTGGGACCCCAAAGTCAGCACACCGTGCCCCGCGGATCACTACTGACCGGCGCTATCTAAGCGACCCCCCCAGGGAATTATGGGGTGCGGGGCTGGAGTCTGGAAAGGCTAGACTGGGGGAGTGGCCACCGCGGGCGGGCAAATCCTGCAGCCCTGGAAGCTTAAGGACCACTCAGCAGTGGTCAGGGGTGGTCAGAAGTGGTCAGGAGTGGTCAGGGGTGGTCAGGGGTGGTCAGGGTGGTCAGGGGTGGTCAGGAGTGGTCAGGAGTGGTCAGGGGTGGTCAGGAGTGGTCAGGAGTGGTCAGGGGTGGTCAGGGTGGTCACAGCCCCTCGCCTTGGAGGGAGCTGTGGAGCTGCTGGGGCCCAGCCCTTGTGGGATTCCGCCCCGCAGAACACGGCACTGGCCTCTCTAATCCAACCTGCTGAGGGCTGGGCGCTGGGCGTTGTGTGGAGAGGAGGGGCAGGGGGAGGGGGCAGGTACCCCATCATCTTGATCTACACACTCCCATTTTGTCTGAGCCCCCGCCCCGGAGTCTACACAGACGGAGCCCATTCAACCTTCTGTGTGACCCAGTGGCGTCCTGCAGCAGTGGGAGCGATTCTTCCTTAAAAGTCCCGGACGAGGGGGCTGGGAAGGTGGCTCAGTGGTAGAGCGCTTGCCTTGCATGCATGAGGCCCTGGGTTCGATGCCTCAGCACCACATAAGCAAAAAGAAAAAAGCCAGAAGTGGCACTGTGGCTCAAGTGGTAGAGCGCTAGCCTTGAGCTGAAGAGCTGAGGGACAGCACCCAGGCCCAGAGTTCAGGCCCCATGACTGGACCCCCCCCCCCAAAAAAAAAAAAAAGTCCCGCACGAGGTGTGGACCTTGCAGGCAAAGAAACTGGGCTGCTGCTTTGATTGCCTCTTCACCCTGTGCTGCTGGTTCTCCCTTTTCCATCCTTTCTGCCCACGGGCAGGAGTCATCTACCAGTGTCCACGGGGGATGGCCCCCTGGCCCATGGCCGGCCCCCCCAGACTCCAGGGAGGGCGGAAGGCCAGCCTCTGCCCTGACGTAGCCAGCGGACCTCCTGTGTTCCAGCTGCCTGGGCTCCCTCTGACCCTCCCAGGGCAGCCTGGTTTTCTAGAACAGGGCTCCAAGATTAAGATAAACCAGGTGCCTTCAGTTAAATGCCCTCCTGCCTGGCTGATTGGTTCTATCTTGGTGGCTGAGGTCATGATTGGTTTTATCTTGGTGGCTGAGGTCATCTTGTCTTTCATCTGTCCCTACTTGTCGCTGGGCCTGCCGGAAACCAGGGCCAAGCTCCCTCTTGGGCTCCTGGCTCCCACATAGCCCCAGGAGCTGGGTCTGGAGAGAGACTGCTCCAGGCATTTAAGATAATGAGGAAGAAAGCACACCTCCATCCTTGCAGCCTGCTCACACCGCCTCCTTTGCCAGGGCAGAACTGCTCTCCTGACCACCTGTGAATGGCTCCTCAAACCAGGCTCATTGAAACAACAGGTATTTTTTTTTTCCCTCATGGGGCTTGAACCTAGAGCCTGCAGCCTGACCCTGAGCTCCTGTGCTCAAGACTGGCATTTTGAGCCAAAGCATCCATTTTCTAGTAGCTAATTGGAGATAAGAGTCTCAAGGACTTTCCTGCCCAGGCTGGCCTCTAACCAGATCTAACTGAGATCCTCAGTTCTCAGTCTCCTGAGTGGTTAGGATTACAGGCGTGAGCCACCAGCGCCCGGCTGAAACAGCATTTTAGAGGAAAGAACAACGCATCCTACTGTCTCCTCCACGACACACTAATCATCTCTTTCTGTGTGCTTCATTGCTGCTGGGTTCTAAAGTCAAGGCGCTGGATTCTAAATGCTGTG